GTGCAGGGGAGAGCTTCATTGGACGGAGCTCCCCTGCACCCTCTCCGTCCCCCTACTCTGCTGAAACTCCCGTGGTATTTTGGGTTGCCCACACACACACACACACACGCACAGACAAATACTGTGTTCATGTCATCAGCATGAACATGGACCTGCAGTGGGTCCGGTTCTGCATGTATGTATATATGCATGCATGCAGACATGCATGGATGGATGGATCGGTGTCTGCACATGTATGTATGTATGTATGTATGTATGTATGTATGTATGTATGTATGTTTGTCTGTCTGTATGTATGCCAGCATGTCTGTATGTATGTATGTATGCATGCATGCATGCATGTGTGTGTATGTATATATGAAGAATAATGACATCAACAAGGCTCGATTCGACGCATCAACAATCGAAAATGCATTAGCAAAACGCATACACCAGAAACACAGGCCACCACAGCATCCTTTCCCGATCTCGCGAACGAAGCCGACAACATCTCACCTGTGTTTGTGGCAGTTTGAGTTCCAGTCCTCAAGACGACTTCCTGGAAATCGAGCGCATCATGTACTTATAGTTCGATGGATGCTCCACCTTCTTACTCGACATTGTTGGCCCAGGCTGCATCCGTGCTGTGCAGCTTCTCCTAGACATCGACGCCGTCAACACTGTAGTCGAGACGGCAGCACTCTCAGCTGTCTAAAGGCTCTTCTGCTTGAAAGCAGTTGCAGGAATCAGGTTGGAGACCTGCCAGGCTGGCATCGAGCGCGAGCAGCCAGGTTTGCTGTGCTTGGGGATTCAGGCATCGTTCGACTTCTGAGGTGAAGAAGGTAGTCCAGCCGTTCACGGAGATCCTGGAGCCGCCGCCCTTCGCCTCCAGCTGGTGCCGGGTGCAGCTCCACGACCTTTCCATCGACCTGGCCCCAGTACAGGCACCGGGTTGGGGATTTGTTCGGCTGGCAGAGATCTGTGAGGGCAACGGAGTAAAGTTCTGGAGCCCGGCATTGACGCTTCGGCTCACTGAGACTGCGCCTGAGTCGAGTTTGTCTTGACCACATGGGATCAGGATTCCGAACCACACACCAAGACTAGACTCACTGAACCCACTGGACCCTGACTAGCATTTCTAAAGCTGGATCGACACAGGGGGCTTGCAGTCGAAACAGCCCGGTTGCATTGGCCGGGCTTCCCGACGTCCGTGTAGGAGTTCCCCTTCCCTTCGAAGCTGAAGCTGCCGTCACTGCTGCGCCTGTACTGAACTTTGAATGCTCTGGTCCTGGAGGGATAGCTCATGTAAAGGCACGGCGTCCACGCGATAGGATTGCTTCATTGCTTCTTCATATTTTGAGACGCAGGAGATTTTCCTAGCCACAAATGACCATGCGATGCTAGGCTTCTGGGTTCTCGAGCTTCAGATTGCGGCAAGAATTTCCACCAGGAGCCCTTGCCGAAGACCTGTGACTTTATCCGAAACCCCTGGAAGACCTTTGCACTGGTGCGTCACACGGTTGCCAGGTGGAGCAGTCTGGCTCCAGTACGCAGCTCCCCAAAACCATCACTCGACACGCCGCTAAACTCGAAGCTCCTGAAGCCTTTGACCGCCCTAACCTTCGAACCCTCAACTCGAGAAGCTTGAGTTCTGGACCGGGAAAAGTTCACGACTTCGAATTGCCGAGGTTGACCAGCCTCTCGGGCTTGGGTGAGCTCTTCTCTGCCCTCGAGACTCTGCCCTCCAGGCTTGGGGTTTCAGGGCTTCGATCTCGGGTTTACAGGGCTACTGGTCCCACTAAGCCGCCGGGACTTGCTGTGCCGACCTGGTGGATGAGGTGGTCTTTCGAACAGTTGAGGGTCTGGGAAGATGTTGTACGATTTGGATGCAGTCGATAACTTTCGACCTAAGAATCAGTTTTCAACCCAAAGCTCTGTCACTAAGCAGGAATCGGGCGAAATCTTCAAGCCCAAAGCCTCCAGCCATGCTCTGCGGTCTCCCACCCACCCAGAACTCCGGACGCTGAGGCATGTTTGGAGTGGCCGCCACTGCGAGGGAAGAGGATGGGTGGAGCATAGGGGGCTAACGGGTCACATATTTGGCTGGTCGGGAGGATGTTGATGGACGATCCGTCCGTTACGCATAGGACCATGCGGTGCCTCTCGGAGGCTTTCCACCTCGGGGTTTGGCCTTGAGCAACCATTCGTGAGACTTACGAACTAGTTCAAACTACAACTCGACCCTTGCTTTTCTTTCTTGACGGCGCACCTTCAGGAGCGCCTTCTGAGCCACAGTGCGGACCTCAATCACTTCGTGTTTGGTTGATTTCGGGCTAAAACATCTTCGACAGTACTCTCAGGATGAATCAGCTTTTCTGGCAACTGTGTCTCTCCTCCTAAGGTGCTAGAGGCAGGTTCGTGTTCGAATAAAGCTAGCAAAATCCTTTGTAACATGGTCATCACTCAGATAAGTCAGTCGACCTTCTACTCAATGAAACGAGCCATTGTCGTGACGAAAGCACGTGACGATGGCAGGAATGCATGTCCTCCACAGCCAATCAAGGGCTGCAGTGCAGAGCAAGGATGTACCTCCACAAGCTTCGAAGTGTCTCCTCACCAAGCCTGGAGACCTGACGATCTTACATACTTGTAGCGAGCCACCGGGTTTTTCGGAGTCACCATGCTCAAATCCAGCATCTTAGGCTGGGTGAGCCAGCTGCCGACAGAAGTGTCATGGCTGGGCAAAGCGAGAATACGGCTCGAGGAATGCAGGTATACTTCGGCTTGCCGGCTGCGATCTCTTGAATGCAAAGGGCTTTGGCTTTGAAGTTAGCTTGACCACGCTTGCAGCATGCCTGGTCGTGACTCCTCAGAGGTGTTGGGCCTTGTTGCAGACCCAAGGACTCCTCAACCCTGCAGCCCAAGTCGCCCCCCTGGCAAACTTGAATCAAAGCCCGAAGCGCAAGCCATCCCAAGCCTCAATTCTTCAGTCCGCACACCCCGAAGCATAGTATGATCCGTTTTCACTTCGTTTCAATTTTTCTCAACGTTTTTCTCAACATATACAATCAGAAGCACCGAGACTTCGGCTCCATGCACTTGGGCCTCCCTGCGCGCGGCACACAGCGTCCCGGAGCATGGGCAGCGAGGCGAGGAGGCTTACGTCACCTTACAGTCTTATCGCTGCATGATTTTAAAACTTTAGTGGTTTTACTCGGGTCGATGCTTTACTCCAGGTGGGGCCGGGTCGCCTACAGAGGTTTTGACGTGCTTGTATTGTAGTTTAGACTTCTGGCGTTGAGTTCAGTCTGAGATGTCGGAGTTTGGTGTTTGGGCTTTGGGCTTCCGGTTGGATTTTTGGGACTCGGGTCTTCAGCAGTGTTTGGCATTTTTGTACCCTCCCACAGACCCTGACGCTTTCAGTCAGGCAGGCTCGCAACGGAGACTATGTGCCTGTTGACTACGACGAGCTCGTGGATTTCCGGCTGAGCGAGCATTCTAATCCCCGCCCCATCCCCATGTGCTCTCGAACTGGCATTGTTGGAGTGAGTTGGATCCCAGTGCAAAAGGCCGAGCTCTCCGTTCGCCCGCAGAGCCCTGAACTCCAAGCCGAAAGGAGATGTTCCGAGCACACATCTCTGCACGTGCACTGGACACTGTCCTGGATGCCGCGCAGCGTGAGCTGGCAGAGGAGAAAGCAGGAGACGGCCGTGATGCGAGCTACGGATGAGCTTCGAGTTAATGTTCTCCACATAAGTTTAAAGGTCCAGGTTAAGTCAGCTATGTATGCAGCTGACTTCACTTCGGATGCGAGCCCTTCGTTTTAAGCTCACAGGCAGATTCCTGAACCGTTGCCTGATCGCCATTCACCAAGCCCACACCCTTGAAGTGCGGTCGAGGTGAATGAATTTCATGTGGCTCATGTATGCTCGAACCTTCACACGCACGCACACGCTCGCACGCACACCCACACACACACACACAGACAAACAAACAAACAAACAAACAAACAAACAAACAAACAAACAAACAAACAAACAAACAAACAAACAAACAAACAAACAAACAAACAAACACACACACAAAAACAAACAAACAAACAAACAAACAAACAAACAAACAAACAAACAAAAACAAACAAACAAACACAAACACACAAACACACAAACACACACACACACACACAGACACAGACACACACACACGCACAAACACAAACACACAAACACACAAACACACACACACACACACGATGCGAGCCCAAGCAGCGC